CGATAAATGCTGCGCAATGTGAAAAAGGTCACACGCAGGCTTCACCTGCACATAACCCTTCACTCGATGGCTGCTGCTGTAAAAAAATTGCACTCGATGGCTGCTGCAGTATTCTTGTTTGCAGCAACAGCCAAAACAGGATCTCGGAAAGACGGACAACATCTGAAGTCAATCGAAAAGGGCAAAGCAGACGGGGTTCTTAGCCTATTCCGATGCTATGCCATGAAGTATGCCACGATCTATCGGCGATGTTTCGTGCACCGGCGTGTGTGTGAAGATGTGCACATTGAAGCGGCTGCATGTTGAGACATATTCGTACCTGAAGTTGAATCAAACTGGTGCCAGCCTTTCTGCTGGCCGACCTGAGGTGTTTTTGTTGTGCTTCAATGAACGTGGTCTGGAAGTTGCAGCATTTGCATGTGAATACTTGACCTTCTGATCTTGTGCCCCGTTTTCGACTTCCTGCTGCGCAGGTTGCCTCTGACTCTTTTCGCATCAGCTGGGAGGTTGCCCTTTGTCTGCAACACGGAACATGCCGAAACGTGCGCCCTAGTCCAGTTCGGTCTGGAACCTGAGGAGAAGTTTCCGTATGATTTTCGGCTGCATTTACATATTCGTGCACCCGCCGTCGCTACTGTGACACAGATGGTCGAAGTCTTTTCAACGCAATTGTTGACCGGATGGCCGGACATGTTTCCTGCCCTGCTCTACGGAGGAGCTGGACTTCGTGGTTGTGTCCGGCTCCATGGTCTGTGGCCACACCCTCCGCTCTGCTGGCTTCATGAATTCCAAGGAGGTTCTCATTCAGAGAATCTCCAGGCAGATCGATGGAGCCCTTGTCTGAACGCTTGCCCGACCGCTGTCATACTGGCACAGGCTCCAAAGCCTCGGAGATGATGCGCATCCGGAGATAGTGTCCCATTTGACATCTCAGATCGACCTGGACGATTGGTGTCTGGAAGTAGACGACATGATCACTGCCAGCCCCTCTGGCTAAGCGGGATGGTCATTTCTTGGTTACATGCTTCACATCAGATATCTTGGCTGCTCCTCTCTGTGCCTCATGAGGATGTTCTGCAGCGGGCGTTTGCAGCATGCGCCGCTACCCGGGACTTTTCGTGATGCGAGGATGATATGCTGCGAGCCAGAAGTTCACACACCACGCAAGAAGCAGTGTCGGTTTTCCCTGACAAGTGAATCAGAACCTAGTGTCAGGATTGCACTGCCATCACATCCTGGGCGGACGACGTCACGAGAGGCGCCTCTATGAAAGCGCAGCTGGCTAGCAGTAAGGCTTCAGGCTTCAGAATTTCCACGCGGCTCAAAAATCATCAAATATCCAGGGCTTCACATAGCGCACTCGAGACTGGACTCGCTCTCTCCAAATTGGCACGCCAGCGCAACTGTGCCTCTCTAAGGTAGTGTCACCGGGCAGCGAGCTGGTTGGAAAGAGCTTGGAGGCGGGTTGGGTGCTCCCGTGCACTCCTCTCCTCGCATTGAGTGGTGCCGGCTCGACCGGTGCGGCCCAGGAGCTGCTAGGGCTGCAAGAACTCTCGCAAGAGGAATCAAGAAGCCAGCAGGAATCAGAAGCTTGGAAGGCACAGTCAGTTGACCCATCTGAAGCAGAGAGGTCCGATGTGACTCGAGGCGATACCTTGGTGTGTGCGAATGTTCAGAGGGTATCCTTTGGCCGCGTGGCGTCGTGAGGACCGCGAGGAGCTATCATCGCAGGTTGCAACCAAGCCAACAGGTAGGAGATGATTGCTGATCCAGAGGAGGGAGGCCTCCGCAGCCAGTCGCTGTGCACGCATTCGGATGTTCTCCAAGCGGGAGATGTCGTCCTGTTTGATGCTTTTCAAGAGCTTGGGCTGCATGTAAGCTTTTCAGTTTGTGAGTTGATCAAACTAAA